AACTCTTCTTCAGCTTTCAGTGACAGATAATCCATTGCTTAGATCCTTCTCATATTTTAGAATTCTCAATTTGTAATCTTTATGGATTTGTAAAAGCACAGGTGTTCATCTGAAGAATTCAGTGAGGCCTTCCTTAAAGTTGCCTAGCCTCCAAAAACTTCCAGTGGCCAGAAGGCTGCTACACCTAACCTTCCTAACCTTCACAACATTGGAGGTGGGAAAGGGGTATTCACACTGCCTGTCTCTAGATCACTTAGTGACCTCATAGGCTAAGGACACTTAGCCACCTCCTCTCTCTCCACGGCCATTATGAGTCAATGGCAATCTTTTGCCTGTCGTGTTTAGCAGTAACATGGTAACAGATAACCACTCTGTTTCACACTTTGGTCACATTTCAGTTGAAGAGGAATGTCAAAATGACAGACCTTATCGCTTTGAATGAGATGAACAGGTGCCTTTTACACATCTTTAGCTACTATGTTGGCATAGAAGTCAGTTTATTTTGTTTGTGATTTCAAGGCTATGTGAGAAAACGAATGTCAGTATCTTCTTCAAATTATTCTTTGAAGAGAGTTTCTGAATATGGAGTTTTACCTTCCCCCTACTCCACATTTATGTGTAGGAAAATAGCGTAGATACAGTTGAACATAGCAGTAACCTACCTAAAATCATGACCTGATGTGGTAATATTATACTCCCTTTCCTGCTGTGCAATGCCTTCTGGATTACCACATTTCTCTTGTTAATTTTAAGAAGCCTATGAAGAATAGACAGTGGTTTAAATTTGAATGGTGTCAACGCCCTTCTGGAATTTTCTTATAGCATTACTACTACTACAGATCATGAACTCTCACCTTCTTGATACAAACTTTGGGTTAAGGAACTAGTACCTGTATTTTAACTACAACTCACGTGTGTACATCTTGGCTTCTAATGTACCACGTCTCATTTGCCGTCTCCCAGCCCATAATTTCCATCAGCAATGAAAATTACCAGATCCTTCCTTGCTTTGTAAACTCATCTAAAAAATGTTCTGAAGTTTCAATAGGGTGATAGAGACTGTGTTTACTGTTCCAAATATAGCACTTAATTTTGCTATATGGTTTCTACTATATAATTTCCACAAATAAACCTTTTTTTCCTCTATACTGAACAGAAAATGTAGTTGTCCTCTTTATGAACCTTGTTTAAACAAAAAGTTTAGAGCTACTATTTCTCTTAAATGAATGCATATCTATATACTCTTGATAGCAAACAGTGGAGAGTATTTCCCTGTGCTGCTTTGCCGCAGGAATGAAGCATTAAACATAAAGCATTTCAATGAAATGCTCAAGTGCAAAGCTAATTCCTGGCAGAAATGCATCAATGCACTGAAAAAAAAGAAGTTTTATAAGGTATTCAGATGCAAGAGAAATTTCTGTTTTACGTCCTTAATGTCGCAAATACATTAAATCTTGGTAGAAGGGCTTCACCTGGTATTTCTTACTGCCTTAGAATTTAAGGTCAAGGATAAGGAAACTTTTTCCTGGGTTCAGGATGATGCTATGGGGTCACATTCATGAGCACTTCACAGACACCTGACCTGTAACTCCCTGAGCAGTTTTCTCCACAGCTTCTCAATGCAAAGTAGCATCCCAACATTGCAGAGTGCTCTCTGCCAGCAGCCCCATGCAGAGCACATTTACCCTGGGAACTGTTTTCCTCTGTGCAAGACCATGCCTTTCCATGCCCCATGCCCACTGCTGTCCCACAGCCAGTGCCACCAGACAGCTCCCCACACTGAACACACATCTGCACCACAGTGCTCCCACACCTTCCCCGCTCCCCAGTGCCAGCCCATACAGTACAGCCCCAACTCAGGGCTTCCATTGCCTTAGCTGCTCCTTGTTGACCTCTTGTGAAGTAAGCATGCCACACGTCATGAGCTGCCCTCCATCAGCAGCGGAGGAGAACAGGGGCAGGCCGGGTGGACAGCAACACAAAAACGCTGAGGCTGGAAAAAAGCAGAAAGGTGGAGAGAGGGGGAAGGAAGAAAATAAAGGTGGGGAGAGGGCCTTGTGGCTGCTGCCACGTGCCGATCTGCTTTAAATCCTCTGTTCTCAGGCTCTGTCTGAATCCGCAATGGTGATTAAGGTGTTATCTGCAAACAGACTTTCCCTGAAGTTGTGCATTTGGTGTTTAAGCCAGGACTTATATCCTATTTGTGAGGAGTGTTGAAGGCATTTTGAAATCCTGCAAATTAAACACAGCGGGCAGGAAGAGGCAGCGCTGAACAGTAACACGCCTTCAAAATGGGAATTTAAACATGCTTTCCCTCTTCTTCTGATGCAACTCCTTCCAGTTCTGATTGCTATGATTTTTATTTCTTATATTTAACATGTTGTATTATGTGTTCATTAGCCAAACCCCAAAGGTTTCTGGAGGCACTCTGGACACTTGGAAGTAAATGTTTATGCACCATTAATACATGTTCTGTTTGACACTACTGTCTCAGAGGAGGTTTTGAATGTGTTTGTGGGGGGTTTGGTTTTTTATCTAGAAGACACTAAAGCAAATAAAACTACTAATTTCTCTGTCATCAGTGATGGTGTGGTTTAATTAATGTACATAAATACATATGCTTCTGAAGCAGAAAAGTGGAGGTCAACACCCAAAGAAAATAAGCCGTTTCCTTCCCACTTTTGTCCCACAGCTGAAAGACATAAAACTATAGCTCAATCAGCTCTAAGCCAAGTAGTATAGTAAATATTTGACATGCAGCATGGTGGGAAGGAACATGGTGGCTGTAGGGCTGAGGGAGGGGAAGAGGAATCCCCATTGCCACTCTTCTGCCTCTTCTCATGTGAGAGAAGACCATTTGCCTGCCTGACATAAGGTGACCCATTTTGATCACAGAGTACACAAAAAAGTACTCTTCGATTCCCAGCCTGAGCATGAGAATGCAATGTTTGTTCATTATCCATTTTTAATTGCATTTTCTGTCAAGCTGATTTATATATAGCTGTTTGCTACATAGAACAATTTATTATTTTTTTATGTGTCATTGATATAACCTGTCTTTTGGTATGTTAAAAATATAACCTCTGTTAAAATGGAACAATTAATTTTCTTCTAAGACTGAAACTTCAATTTCATGTCCATGGGCAATGGACATTTATTGCTTACAGGAAAACAAAATTAAAGCATCTCACATAAACATTTAACTCTGCAATACTCAATCACAGATATGCAGACTTTTAAAATTGTATTCCTTTTTTATTATCTTCCTTCCTTTTGGAAGAGGCAAATAAATTTGTAAAAACATTATTACTGTAAAAGATAATCTGTTGTTCATACAATTGCTACTAGTTATTTTTCTGATGTCTTTTCAAACACTGTGGAATACATCTTCAGAGTGACCAATAAAAAGTAAATCTCATGTTAGAGGAGTGAAAATTAGTTCAAGTAATATGTTTTTAGCTCTAGTCTGGAAAAGACATACATTCCCTTGGAAAGTTAGTTGTATTAGTCATCTGCTGGTTGTTAGAGCATGTGCTGGTCACAAAGTATTCTTTCCAACATTTTAAAACATTTAAAATATTTTTAATATCCACTGAAAGAAATTAAGATTTATCTTCTTTAAAGTTTAAAAAAGTAAATCTGATTCATAAGTGATTATATTAAAAAGCCCTCCTGGGTTAAATTATCATATTTTAATTTTCTATTTACTATTGTTACTCTTAATATTGTCATTGGAAAAAATGTAAAGAATGTTAAAAATCTTCTCTGTTTTGTTCAAAGAACACCTAATTAGAATTGATATAAAATATCAGTTGGATACTTTTTAAGTTAAGTATGATCCTAGGTCTTTCCAGGACTACTGGTTCAAAAGGAGGAAAGGCATAATGTACAGACTCTTTATTATCACATTTTATTTTGACATCTAGAATTTATGTCAAAGACTCTTCTAGTCGATTTAATTTTGTGCATTTAAAATAATGATCAAGTTGCTCAGGGGATGTATAATCATGTGAAATATTAAAAACTGAGTCAGTAACTTCGATCAAGAGTATCAAAATATAGTACTTAAATATTTTAATCATAATAATACATATAAAGAATAGACAAGGCATTCCAATTATTTGAAAAGTTCTACAGATTAACAATATGATATAAGATATTATTAGAAAAGTAAATAAAATACAAGAATACATCTTTTAAGTGCTATTCCAGCATTAATAAATTTTAAAACTAAGAGATATTTTGAAAGACAGAATCTGAGAATTTAACCCAAATATTAATAAGTCAGTTACTCTGAAAATCTGCACTGGTTAGTTGTATTGCAACTTTATTCACACTTCAAAGCCTTTAACAGTGGTTTTAGTATTATCATCTTCCTGGTGATAGTGAACTCTGTAGAGCTATTTTCTCATCATTCTCAGTAGATTACTAGCAGTACAAATGCAACTCAGTCTGAAGTGTGTGCAAATAAATATTTCTTAGGCTTGCTATTTGGTTCTGCTTCTGAATCACATTGCCCCACACATCATTTACTGGATGGCTGGGGTTTCTCTCTAAATTTATGTTGCAGAACATTTTTTCCTCAGCAATATCAAAGCATCAGTTGCCCTGATGATCTTTTCCTCTCTAGAGAAATCGTGACCGTTGTTGCAGTGATGGCCCAAGGACCATCTTTGTTTCTTTCCTTCCTTTTTAACTCTTCAATATAGAGAAATATGCCAATTTACCTGAGGGATATATCCCTGTAGAGATCTTCAAGGTGATCATAAGTGGGGAAAATGGAAGAAATATGATTCTGAAATGTGAAATATAGATGTTTGCTTTTGCTTCTTAATAGCACTGTTGTGGATTTTTTAATTTGACTGCATTCTGCAGTATAGTGTGCATCTAAGGCATTAGTCAAAATCAAAATGCTGTTAAAAGTTCCTCCCTCAGACTCTGTCCATGTGTCTGGCAGTGTCATGGCAGTTGGATGAGAAAAAGAAGAAAAATAAAGTGGCATGATGGGCACTAGCCGTGGATTGCCAAGGTCTGAGACTTGTTTCTTTTTCTGTTTGCTGGTGTTTAGCTACATCTCCATAGATGAAACACTTCAGAGTCTGGAGGCCCATTCCTTCAACAGTTTAAGTAAAATCACTCATATGTAAGTACTGTAATTAAATAAATGAACACGGTGATAAAGTAAACTTGGAGATGTGTGGAAATAACATATGTGCTGATGTTTGAGTTGTCATTCTTAACTCCTTTGTCACTAAATATTCCTTTTCACATTTCCTTTCTCCATAATGTGGAGTCAGTCTCTTTTTTGACTTGTGCTTTCTTTCCCTGTATCTTTTTGGGTCCTTTGCTCTTCTTTATCCTTCCACAGAAGTGTAAGAACGTGTAGTGAAAAACCTGTGGGACTACACTATGAGCTTGATGGCAAGTTGAAATAAACTGGCAATTAAGAATGACTTCTGTCAAATTACTGAAGTTAAGTGTAAACCATTAATATAAGCACCGGAAATAAAATCAGAAGGGCCAAAGCACAGAACAAAATGGCACCAGCTGGAGACATGAAGCATAATAAGTAATCTTTCTGGAAGTGCACTAATAAAATGAAGAGTGTGTATCTGGTTATTAAATGGAACGGGAATGTTATGGACAAAGACTTCTGGGAAGTGTTTTTATACCTTTTTGTTCTAACCAGTGCTCACCAAATGATGCACTAGGGCAGTTACAAAAGTAGTAGGATACTTGCATCCACAGAGTTCCTGTCATTCAGCAGTACCCTGTCAAAAATAGAAGGTAATGTATCAAACAGAGCTTCAAAGGATCCATCCTGCATCTGGTACTCTTCCATGTTTCCATTACTGATCTAAATGAGGGAATGGAAAGTGTGCCAGTGTTGTAAAGCTTAGATGAGTTGCAGTTTGACATAGTTCAGAGAAGATTTGTGTTTGCAGAGGTTTCATGAAAGAACATTTTCAGTCATAATGGATGCAAACAACATTGTCAGAGAGGAAAGATTTTTGTGTCCAGAAAGAAGACATGACAGAGGCAGGTACATGTCTTAAAAGTAGTTGCAAGGGGTGAAAGCTACAACCCATTTTCCATACTCATTTTTGACAAAGCAAAAGTAATAATAACCTTAAATTAGATTAGGCAAGATTCATGTTAGACTCTAGGAAAAGTTTTCATATGGCTGGCATAAGTAAACACTAGAATTGTTTTCCTGGAGAGGTTGTCCCTGTCACTGGAGGCCTTTAAGGCTGTGTAATCACAAACTCCATAGGTGTATCTAAAGAGACAGAACTAGATGATCTCTTAACACTGCTCTATTTTCTATAATTTTATTTTCTTTTTTCTTTACACAGTGTGAAATAGAATAGTTAATAAAAATAAAGGAGATAATATCATTACTGTTACTGTAGGTAGAGAACAATTAATGCTGGAAAGTGGAAATGCCTCCCCTAATTGTACCTGACAGGCAGAGCTAGAAGTAGAGTCCAGAACCCTGAGACCTAGTTCAGTTCTGTAACGTGCTCCTGTAGTATTCCTGGAAGAGTTTCACAGGAAGGCTTCGCTGTGATAACAGTACTTGTATAATGTCATTCCCTCTTCTGTAGATGGGTTTTCCAGGCCTGTAATCATCATGTTCTCTCTTCCTCTTTCACAGTTTTTGTGTCTTTAGGATTTCTTGTTTAACAAGAATGAGCATTTAACGAAACATTTATTGGCAGCACATTTTATAAGCAATGAATAAAGCATGTGGCACTTTGTACTACAAATCCCTCATGGTATTTGTTTTGTGGTTCACCTTCTTAGAAGTTAAAAATAAAATGCTCTTGGGCCATCACATTTAATTGTAGGAATCTTCCATGCAATACACAGCATAGTATATTTTATGTTTTAAATTATATGGATCTAAAGGTTTCTTGAGGACGGCTTGGAGCTAGCTGGCTAGATAGCTGTTTTCTACTGTTTCTGTATTAGATTCAAAGTGGAGAACTCGTGATCTCCCTCAGGATCTTAATTCATAACACAAATCTGATCTCCTTCAAAGGGTAATGTAATGTAAGCCTTTGAATATAAAGAACTCTTCCACAAAATGCACACTTTTAAATGTGTGACTAGTTTGGCAGAACAGTGGATGGAGCTCTGGTGTTGCCAGTGCCTCCCAGGGCACCCATTCTGCTGATATGTTCTGTCGTACTGCCTAATTTACATCACTTTCTACTACCTAAAGGGTTGGTGAGAAGTACGAGTAGAAGCCTTTCCTCTTGTCCTCTTCAAGTCTCTAACCACTCCCAAAGCATGTTTATATTCTTGCCTGGGAGGATAGCCATTGCCCCTTGCCATAAGCATGCCTTGGTTACTTGTCGTGGTTTAACCCCAGCCAGCAACTAAGCACCACAGAGCCACTCACTCACTCCCCCCGATTTGGAATGGAAGAGAGAATCAGAAGAGTAAAAACGAGAAAACTCATGGGTTAAAGACAGTTTAATAGGTAAAGCAAAAGCTGCACACAGAAGCCAAGCAAAGCACAACAAGGAATTCATTCACTACTTCCCATCAGCAGGCAGGTGTTCAGCCATCTCCAGGACAGCAGGGCTCCATCACATGTAACTGTTACTTGGGAAGACAAACACTGTCACTCTGAACGTCCCCCCTTTCTTCTTCTTCCTGCAGCTTTATATACTGAGCATGACGTCATGTGGTCTGGAATATCCCTCTGGTCAGTTGGGGTCAGATGTCGCAGCTATGTACCCTCCCAACTTGTGCACCCCCAGCCTTCTCACTGGTGGGGTGGTGTGAGAAGCAGAAAAGGCCTGGACTCTGTGTAAGCACTGCTCAGCAGTAACTGAAACATCCCTGTGTTATCAACACTGTTCTCAGCACAAATCCAAAACATAGACCCACACAAGCTACTATGAAGAAAATTAACCCTACCCCAGCCAAAGCCAGCACACACGGCTCCACTGAAGTCAGGCCAGAGCACACCAGCAAGGTCCAAAATCTCTGCATTATCACACCCATGCCAGATCCCAGGCCTGCATGTGCTGTCCATGACCAGGAAGCTGCAGGCCAGGGCAGGAGTCAGCAGAGCTTATGGGCACCTAGACTCGTGTCACCTACGGCACAGGCTGCAGGAAGGGCATGGTGAGGAGAAAGTTTCCTGGTCTGCTTTACAAGGGTTATGGTAATGTGGGCATTACCAAAAAAGAAACTGTACATACACATACAAGATATGTTTCTTTCATACAGTTTCTTTTCCCTGTCCTGCTCCAGCAGGGGGATTGGACTAGATGATCTTTTGAGGTCCCTTCCAATCCCCAACATTCTGTGATTCTGTGATATACTTCTTTTTTTTTTTTTCTGTGCAAGAGCCAAAAGTGCTACCCAGGACCTTTGCAAGTGGCCCACAAAGGACTACCTCTACCACTCAAAAGTGCTTACCAGGCTTTGAGAATCTAAGTGGAAGTTAACCCTTATCGTTGTTGGGTTTGATTTACTTTTCAAAGAAAAAGATTGTTCAGGGATGAATGCATATATTGTGTTATGCATTTATTTAATGCTCTCCACTTGCATAGTATTTTCAAGGTATTATTGCTAAAATAATACTGGGTAAAGATTATCATGGGATATTTTAAAAGAGGTTGAAATTACTCTGTTTTGAAAAGAAGTAATTTTACAAGAGTTTCATTTTCACAGGCTGTTTTTCATGGACCTTTCATAAAGTGCAGTTTTATGTAAATAATCTTTTTACCCTAATTTAAACTTATGCATACAGTTGCATTTTAAAAACATTTGTTTTTAAACGTAAGAACTTCTTAGGAGAAAATCCAGTGTTTGTGGAAGGGAGGAACTAATTGCTTTGACTTAAGTGTCATGTGAATAGACATCCTGTGTTCCTCGCCATCCCTGTCTGCCAAGCCTGCTAGTGTGCCTCAGCTTTGATTTTCAGTGCTCCATTTTCTTGGTCCTTATTCAGTTCATGTGCCTCTATCCTGACCTTCTGTTCTTTCCATACCTCAGCTCTTTTTAAGCATAATTCATATTTTCATGAACCTATGCCTGTCAAGTGCTGAGCATCTTCTCTAAACTGCAGATACTGATCACCTGCTGTCTTTTAATGGACCAGATCTGTAATTAATGGCAAAATTTCCACTCTATGAGATGAAAAATAGAGCCAAAACTCTGGGAGGTAAGGGGGGCTCCCTAATTGTGTTAAATTGGTCTCACAGTGGTTTCTTGATTCTTTTGTCTTTACCTTTTTTAAGCATGTCTATGAGACAAATTTAATGTGTTTACAAATTCAGAACTGTCTCTCCCCTACAATGGCTTTTCTTTTTTTTTTCCTAAATATAATTGTGAAAGTGTCTGATCAGTGGTCAATGTCTCCGTGTAGTTGTCTTACTAGTAGAGCTATAGCTTGGTAGCATTACATGAAATAAAAAGTTTTTGTAATTAGGTCATTTTTTCTCAGGAAAACATTCCCATGGAAGGAATTCCAGAAATTCACTCTTTCTTTTCCCCTTCTTTGTGTCTCTACTCACTCTCCTCTGATCTCAGTCTACTCCCTTCTACTCCTCACTCCAAAAGCTCTCTCCTCTCATACAACCATGTGAAAAGCTCTCAGCATTTGGGAAGAGGCCCAAAGGTTATGGTTCAAGTGGTTTGCCGTTGTATATGCGACGTCATTTGGAGAACTGGTGGGGGAACCGCTCCCTATCCCTGCAGTGAGCTGTGGTGAGCTGGAGCCAAGGGCCAGGGCAGCTCCACCAGCTTTCAGGCCAGGGCTGCACTTCTCTACTTGGACAGAAGAGAAGCCAGATTGTGGGATACGGTGCTGCAGAAAGGAGAGGTGATTTAATGGAAATATCTGAGAAACACCCGGAGAGGGAGACTGAAGAGATTTGGGGGAACTGCTGTATACCTGCAGTGAATTTCAGGGTACTGGGACAAGTGCTGTGCAGAAAAATCTTGTTAAAAGCTGCAGTTTGGAGGTAGGGAATAGACTGTCAGGAGCCTGAGCCAGTTTCCCGACGCTAGCGGTGCAAAGGCTTGACAGGTGTATGCAGATGAAATAATATGGATAGTTTGGCTGTCGGGGGAGAATAAAACATGGAAGTACCTATACAAGTGAAAGAAGCCAAGGAAGCTATAGGTAAATTAAGTCTAAGAAGGTAGAGAGGGGTCCCAACTTATTACAAGAGAAAAAAAAAAGGGCTGATTTAATACATTTCAAAACTGCTGTCCTGGATATCTTTAGTCTTCGTAGGTATCTCAGCATAACCTGATTATATTGAGATTCTATGGCCTGATTTGCAGTTTCTGGATTCTAGTCTTGAACAAACTCAAGGAGGTGTCAATATTGACAGGCAGGTATGAAAGAAGTGATAAATGAAATTTAGAAGCCACTTAAATGTGTAAATGTTTGTACTTTTTTAAATGTTACTAAATTAATATAGGATGTTAAGTAGCTTATTAACTTTTCTAGAAGTTATCTGGCAAACTTATATCTCATTATTTCATTCATTAGACTAATATTTGAATACTCATTATTAGTTTCATTTTTAGATTCATTTGTATTTGGAACTAAATATTTATATATTTAAATAAGAACATAAGTTCATAGTTATTTCTAAGCCTTAACACATAACTTTATATCATCAAGTGACTTTCTCTGCACATCTGTTCTTGCCAGCAAACCTGCTCTGACATGGGCTCCTCTCTCTCCACGGGGCCACAGGTCCTGCCAGGAACCTGCTCCAGTATGGGCTTCCCATGGGGTCACAGCCTCCTTCAGGCATCCACCTGCTCTGGTGTGGGGTCCTCCACGGGCTACAGGTGGTCATCTGCCCCACCATGGAACTCCATGGGCTACAGGGGGACAGCCTGCCTCACCATGGTCTGCACCACAAGTTACAGGGGAATCTCTGCTCCAGCACCTGGAGCACCTCCTCCCCCTCCTTCTTCACTGACCTTGGTGTCTGCAGAGTTGTTTCTCTCACATCTTCTCACTCCTCTCTCTCTCTGCAAAGTGTGCTGCTTTTTCCTCTCTTCCCTGTTTTTTTCTTAATTATGTTATCACAGAGGTGTTACTGATGGGCTCAGCCTGGCCCAGTGGTGGGTCCATCTTGGGGCTGGCTGGCATTGGCTGTGTGGGGCCTTGGCCAGTGGTTGGTCCATCTTGGAGCCGGTGGCATTGGCTGTGTGGGACATGGGTGAAGCTTCTGGCAGCTTCTCACAGAAGCCACCTCTAAGGCCCCCCTGCTTCCAAAACCTTGCCATGCAAACCCAGTACAAGTACCCTTGTCCAAATAATTTACACAGAATACTATGAATAGCAATGAGGCAAAAACCTGACGAGTCCATGTTACTCCAATGCATTACCCACTTCCAAGCTGAAGGTTGATCTGAAGTCTTTCACTGAAATATGTTTGGTCCACAACAAAGGAATACGTAGCCAGGAAGCTCATGAGTCCAGCATTTTAAATCTAGTCAGTAACTAAAAAAACATAGTTAGTTATAGTTTATGGAGCAAATTCCACTGTTGGGAGTGTGATAGCTACATAATCAATAAAATAATTTTAAAGAAGCAAGAGACTGACACGGATAAGGTTTCTTTTAAATACAGAAACAGTACTGTTCAAAGTAGCTAACAGACATCAATTATATTTGAATATAGTACTGTAATAACAGTAGTATAGTATATTAATTACATCAGTTTAACATGCAAGTAAGAGGTAAACCCTTGTCTCCCTACAATGTTGGAATAAACAGTAAAAACTGAAGACTTGAAATGTGGAGCAGAACTGTTTTGTCAGTACAACAGTATGTAGAGAAGCTGAAGTCTTGGTACCTGTATCTACGTACTGATTTATCTCCTGTCTTATGTTTCTTCTCCCACTTTTATTTCTCAAACAACTTGGCTGGGTTGATTTTATCCTGTAAAAATTATTCCAGTGGCAGAGGTATCCTTAAAACCCAACTTCCTGATACCTATATTGTGTAGGTTACTTGGCACTGTTAGGGCACGATAAATTAAATACTGCTGATTTCTCCCCATTGCGGCCCTGCCCAGTAGCACCACTTCTTGGACTGACTTAAGACCAGAACATCACCCACACAACCTGCACCTCCATGTCATCTGTACCTGTTGTCTTCACCAAATTTCTCTCTATAAGCAGCAAGATGTTCTTCCCTCATCCCACTGTTCCACAGCTAGTGTCAGGAGGAAGACTGGCACTGTTCTTTCTATATGGTTCCTGTACTAGAAAAGGCTGAGAGTTGTTCCAACAGAGTTATAAGACCAGTGTCCAGAGCTAGTTTAAGGTAAAGAAATAGAAGTAAAAATGCAAAAAAAGGCTATCCTCTTCTGGAGACAGTAAAGGAGCCAGGAAGGGAAAAATGTGCATGTAGTGGGGATGGTTTTTTTTCATAAAAGACAAAAATTTGGTAGTTCTACTGAGTCTACGCAGGGAATTTTGGCACAGTCTGATTGGTGCAACCAGACTGCTGACTGTCATTATGAATAGAAAAGAAAAAAATCTGCTGAAAAAAGAGGAATGAGAAAGACCGAGGAAAACTCCATTAAGGGCAGAGACAAACTTTTCAGAAAAAAGTGGAAAAGTCATGATGCCCAGCAGTAATCATGATGGCTGGAGGGGCAGCAGCCACACCAACACACCTAAGGAAAGTTTCCAGCATGGCCATAGCCATGATCAGTGTCAGCCTGGGTCTTCAACATGTGCAGTCTAAAAAGTCATCTGCAGACCAAGCTGTCACCTGGGTAGAAGTATTTAAAGACATAACTGTGGACAGAAGGTGTAAGGCATGAAGTCTGTGTTACATTTTGCATCAGTATAAAGCAAATAAATACACTATCCTCTATACTGCTGGACATGGCTATATAGCGAATGGTGTGTCCATTTCAAGTCTCAGAATGGAGTTAATTTAAGTGACCTGAGGCATCTTTTGGATCCACTGATGGGTTCTGTAAAGGAAACAGGAAAAATAATACAAAATACTGTTAGAGACATGAAAGAAGTAAACAGAAAAATAGGACATAAAATTATAAGCTAAGCTGATGGCTGTAAACTGAGAGGATTATTATACATCAATACTGAATGTTTTGCTTTTTTTTCTTCTTTTTATTCAACTTTGCAGACACAAAACTCTCACCACATCCAAAGTAATTGGCATTACCACAGGCACTGCTTTGATTTTAGGACCATGCAGGCAAAGGATCCATAATCAAATCTCAGGTGCTTCTCCCCCCCTTGTTTAAACTAACCAGCCTCCAGGACCACATCTATCCAGATGAAAATTCACCATTGTAATATTGCTCAGAACTCATAGTGGCCTTGAGCTAGTGCTGGTCAGTACAAAAGCTCATTGCAGGAATTAGCTCCCTGAAATTTCATTGTAACATTGCTGATTGCTGTTATGATAAATAATTAAATATTAATGACCAATGTGGTAATGTTCCTCCTTTTTTTTTTACAGTGAAATTCGAAATCTTAGAAACTTAGATTACATAGATCCAGATGCCTTTAAGAACCTCCCACTTTTGAAATACCTGTAAGTATTTAGCACCTACAACAAGTCAGCACTTAAGCCTCACAGATGACTCTTTACAATATAGCAATTTTGTTTCTTTGCACTTCTTTTGATTGTAATGTTTTTCCCTGTTGCTTTATTTTAATGAACAGAAAACCAGCTAGGGTAGGGGTTGGAACTTTGACTACTTTTGCAAGAAAGGAAAACATGTTCACAAATTCATCACTAATTTTGCTATTCTTCTTATCCATTTAATGTCTGGATACACTAATGTTTCCTTGGCAAAATTCCACAGCTAGCTAGCTTCTTATGGTAGGTGCTGTCTTATATTTTTGTAGGGAATAATGGGAAGAAGGGACACAATAGAAATATACACAACTTTTACATTTACTAGATATTTACATGGGGTTTTAGAGCATACCTGTCAGCTAAATGTGACAAGCCTATATATAGACACCTGATTTCATATGGCCTCTATGGCAGAAGGAAATCCTGAAGAATTCTTTGTATTCCCATGAAGAGCTGAAGTGCAGCACAGAGTAAACAAACCATGGAATTCTAAAATTATTGCATAGGGAAGAAAGATGAGAAAGAGAATAACTTCTGTGATTTTGAGTAATGTTTGGGATACTCTAGAAAGGGCTGTGTGTGTGTGTGTGTGTGGTGGGGGCAGCAGCAATGAGGAAAGCATTTTCCAACTCTTTCCTATAGACATGAAAGCAATTTTTTTTTTAAAAAAAGGAAAAAACAATTTCATTTCAGGACAATAGGTTTTAAAATTGAGAACTATATTTTCTTAATTTCTTCTTATTTATGCTCTACTGGAGTTCAGAAATAAGGGGCACTAACTGTATTCACACTTGGAGACAGTTTCCCTTTTTAGAGCTATTTGAACAGCTCTCAGCCTAAATGAAATACAGAGGATTTGGGCATCCAGACTATTGTCTGAAGAAGCCTTAATCACAGAATCACAGAATCACGGAATCACAGGGATTGGAAGGGACCTCGAAAGATCATGTAGTCCAATCCCCCTGCCAGAGCAGGAACACCTACATGAGATCACATAGAAAGACATCCAAGCAGGTCTTGAACTTCTGATACCTGAGTGTGAGTTCATTTATTTCACACAAGAATAATACTTTCTGAATGTCTCCAGAGAAGGAGACTCCACAACCTCCCTGGGCAGCCTGTTCCAGTGCTCTGTCACCCTCACTGTAAAGAAATTTCTTCTGAAGTTTAAGCAGAACCTCCTGTATTCCAGTTTACACCCACTGCCCCTTAATCTCTCAAGTGGATCCAGAGTTATAATTGTTTTCTTCCTATTAATCTCACAGGCTACTTTCCTCTGCAGATCTTTTTAGCTATGTTCCCATTTTTTAGATTCTATAATTTGTCATAAATCTGGTATTTTGATTTTTTAATTGTTCTTGCATCCTTACATTTTGGACAGTTGATTAAAAATTAATTGATTGACAATAAAGAGGGTGAAATAACTGTCCTGCACTGTTGAATGCTTTAAATAGGTTGCTTGTTGCTGATCAGTGATTAAGTACATGCAATTCTTTCTGTTCCTTCTCTCTTTCAGTGGTATTTTTAATACTGGACTCAAAGCATTTCCAGACCTCACCAAAATCTACTCATTTGATGTGAACTTTTTACTGTAAGTATCTGTCCTCACACCTGGTTAGAACACTGCCTTCCTCAGATCCCAAGAAAACCTATAGTGAATTTTTCTGTTTTGGACAAAAATATCAAATAAGTCTGACAAAGCACTTTTCCTCAAGCTGTATTTCAATGATCATTAGTACTAATTCTGGAAAATGCCAGGTCACCTAGCACTATACATTTGGCCTGGATGAGAGACATGGACACACAAGCACATTTCTTTTGAATTAGCCAAAGCACATGATACACAACTTCTCCTTTTATTTTCATTTTGTAACGGCTGTGCAATACCTGAATTATTCTGAAGTCAGAATAGCATGACACATAGGACCTGGTCTGACATATAGCCTGCTAACACAATGTCAGCCTGTCAACATTCTTCTAACAAATTTGTGCTGGCATGGCGTGCCTTTTCTGGTACTACTCTTCATTGAGCTCCTATATTATTGAATCATAACTTCTATTGGCTCTCATCTGTCTTCTTTCTTCTGACCACACCTTGAACTCAGAAGACTCAAGAGCAGACCTGGACAATCTTGAGAGCAATTGTTTATCATTACACCTTTAAAGAGCTCAGTGTTGGCTGAGCTTATATCTTTAGGAAGATTTTGGTGAAGACTTATTTTATCCAAAATATGTTGCTTCACACAATATTTTAATAAAGAAAACAGAACAGAAGCTCAAAAAGCAAATCGCCAAAGCTGAGAAATAAAGAAGAGCAACTTGGTTTCATGACAGCCTCAATAGTGAGGTGAGTTCAGGTTGGCACAGCATGTCTTTAAGACAGAGGACTACCCGCCTCCCTTCTGTCACTCATCTTTTTTTCATAGGAGTTGAATGAGATGCATGGTCTTTTTGAGATTGACAGCATAAACTTCTGTGAATGCACACTTCATCTAAATGCCCTTGCCCAACCTTTGCTGTAGAGTTACATTTCAAGTACAAATCTGTTGTTCAACTGAAGGACCAAAGCACCACATCTTGCCTACTTTTAAGCTAGACTTCCTAGGTGGGGCCATCTCTCATTAACAAGTCTTCAGCTGGAAAGAATTTTCCTGCTAGCAAGCTTTGCTAATTTAGTTGGGTTTGTTCACATGAGTCAATCCTACATAACCCTGAGACTTTCTTCCTTTCTTATACCTTAAAACCCATTTACTTTAACTGATTTAAAAACACCCCCTCCTCTGCTTTTTTTTTAATATGGCTTGAAGCAAACTGCAGAACAATTTGTTGGAGAAAGAGAATGGGAACATAAATGGGGTCAGGGGATCTCCCACTATTATCTTTAAGAATATTTCAGAAACAAAGAATTCTGCTGTAAAAAAATCAGGTGTTAGTATTCAGAAAGCAAAGATGACATCCATTTTTGTGCCCTAACCTGCAATTTAAATTCAAATTCTGGGTTGTATTCAAGCCAAGAGGGAAGAGCAGCTCAGATGAAGACTTACAGGCTGACACAAGGTAAAAATATCTTGGTGACTACTTAGGCCTAGAGAGGAGTTGGCAGTCTTATACTGTAGCAGTGTTCAGCTGGAAGAGGCTTGGCTGCTGGATGGGTTAGATAAAAGGCTATTAAAAATGAGAAGTATTATGTTAGAGAGTGACTCATAAAGACATGGTTGATGATCCATCCCAGGCATTGTTTCAGTGCTGCTAAGGGGTGTTCTTAATAAAGAATGGTCAGTCCCCACTGCATGCATCATCTGTCATTGGCAAGACGAACCTCAGAGCGATGTAGAAATGCTGGCTGTTTCACTAAATAGTCCAGACCCATGAGAAGCAATGAGATCTTCCCTCCCAAGGATCTTCTGAGACTAGAGGTAAGCCTTTTGCTACCTCACACTCCACAACCTCGAGCTCCTATGTTTGCCTTGGCTGTAGGCCTCCAAGGTTGAAACCTCAGTCAGCCAGAGCTCTGAGTGGGATACGCCTACATCTTAAGAGCTAGTAGTTCCTCAAAGACCAAAAGGTCTTTAGTTTAGTTTAAGCTCTACTAGATTGTAAATTAAACACTACACTTATTAAAAGTAGAGAAAACCAAGAATTAAATGGGCTAGATGAAACAGAAGCAGTTTATACAATCATCTGTGCTCTTTCTTCCAATCCACTCAGTGACTTTCTAAGTGCCAAATGGCAAAATATTATTTTACCTCTACCTTGGAAAATTTTTATAAAGATCACTAACAAAAAATAAAACAGGTGGCTTGCATGTTAAAGACTTTTTAAGGAGTACACTTGCACTTTCAAGGGAGGTATTTCTAAATGTTGTTATTTAATGAAAGATAGGCTTTTTGTTTCATTCATCATGAAAAATAGTCTGCTCTTGAAGAACTGAAGGTTTCTAAACTATGAATAAGGTACTGCTGGGAAAAAGCACTCATTATATCACTATTGGTCTTTGAGGTCAAGCAACTTACAAGTAAACGTTTGTTTAGAAAAGTGAACCAATCTGAAAAATGCCAAACAAAAATAATTTGTGGTGAAAACCACCTATAGGTGAAACCTACTTGAAATGAAAATGGTTGTAGCACAGTTCAGTGTTAGCACATATATATGTACATACGTAGCACAAAAAATGAATGAAATTGTTCCTGGTACATAGGCAATTATTAGGACTTCTCGGCCCTTGGGCATCATGGTCTGGCCTTACCAGACCACATCTAATCCACAAGCTGAAGAAAAGAAAAATTTGCAGAATATTTTGGTTTTCAGACTCTAATATGATTCAGAAGAAAGCAGAAAAAGGTCAGTCAGACACTTTGCTCTGCCCTTTGTTTCTACCAGCTTTTTCCTCTCTTCTTTCTCCAGTTTAGTCATAGTAAAGCTCTTTAGTTTTTCTTTGTCCTTCTTGCCACAACAGTTTTGGTCTGAAGATTCATAGTATTTATTAAGACTGCAGAGCGGGAGTAAAAAGTATTTAAGAAATGACAAGACAGTGAAACACTCATTTGGACAAGAGTTGAGAAGGATCATTAGGTTAGATCACATAATAAGGTATTTCACTTGTGCTAGATGCAGTTCTGTGAAGTGAAATGCCTCTGTCCTGAATAATGTATTATCTGATGTCTTATCTGAGCTTCGTTAGCAGGATCTCAGCCCTAAAGTCATTTGGGTTAGCTCAGTTGACATTGCAGCATTATTTACTTTGCTAATTCTCTGGCTTATGAGACAAGGGACCTGTCTGTGCTGTTAACCACTATAGTCACACAGGCTGGTACACTTCACCAGGACTATAAAACCCATCTACTTCACAAGCTCACTTCTGGTGCTGGAACATGCTCAATTCTTAATCATCCCACATGTATCTTCTGAACTTCTAAAGAAGTTATTCTACACTTTTATGTATTATCAAGGCAAAGAACAGTTAATAATAAAACTGTTCTTGAGAAGCTCTGTTGGGCAGATGTTTGATTGTGATGTTTTTTCTTCTTTTTCAGTGAAATCGCAGATAACCCTTTCATTACTTCAGTGCCTGCCAATGCTTTCCATGGGCTTTGTAATGAATCTCTAACTCTGTAAGTTCTTGCAGTTTAAGTCACAAGGCAATTACCTCGCTTTGCTCTCTCAAGCATATGGTAAAATGTTTAAAAAATAAAAATATCCCTGCCTTACTCTCCAGGAGTTTGTAACAGAGAAGCACTATAGACAGGTAGTATCCTTAATCTAGTTTGCATAAATCCATTACTTGGACAGTAATCTGATCAGGCCTGCTGCTTGTCTTTAAACTGGCTTGACCAAAGTGGTTTTGCTTTTGTATGACCCTAATGCCAGTGAATGGTTATATTGGAGAAAAACAAAGGGAAAAGTTTGCAGAGTTCTCCTTCTGTAAAACTACAGCATGGTTAGAACTGTGTCTAACTTTTTTGCAACCTAAGTGGCACATACTGTGAAAACAACGGGGGGCAAATGTAAGAGTTAAATTTGAAGGAAAATTGTTAAATAATGTTCAGTTATGCAAGTCATACTCAATGTGAGGCACAACAAAGGGCTAAGGGGAGTGAAAAAGGCTGTAGTGAGTTATGATCTGAACAAGGGGGTACTAGAATGTGAAAGAATGAATTCTACAGAAATGCTGAAAGGTCTAAAAATAATATTTCACTCTGAGGGAGCAAAAGAATGAATTCTAAAAATTCAGGTAGGCCTGATAGTAAGATCATTCCTATTTTGCTAGGTACTAGTTCCTTTAGCTTTCCTTAACAGTCCTAGCAGAATTTTGTTTCCTTGTTTTTAGTGTGAGTTGAAGAGTGGGAAAGTTACAGCAAAACCCTAACTTTGCTGTAAAAAGAAGTATAAATGGCACACCTGACACATGGTATTCTTGATTCAACAACACTCAGGAATGTTGCTGGGCATTTGTTTGACCTTGCACTATAATTGCTGCTTCTTCAAGAGATTAAAATTAACCCATCCATAAATGTACTGTTGCCAAGAAAAATGATATATAAAATGTTAGATATTCAGGTATTGAAGCAACCCAAAATATACTTTTCTTTTTTTTCTTTTTTTTTTTTTTTTTCTTGTAGCAAACTCTACAATAATGGTTTCACCAGCATCCAAGGTCATGCTTTTAATGGGACAAATCTGGATGCTATGTAAGTAGCAGATCATTTTCTTCTTTCAGAAAAAAAAAATAAAAATATATATATATATATAAAAATACTCTGTGCTTGTTGGAGGCTCTCAAATACATATCTTATTCTAATTATTTTTAAGGAGCAAAGAGAGGATATTAATTTCAGCCAGCAATAAAAATATGGGCACTTAATGTCTTTTGCAGTGTAGTTTCATTTGGCATGTATATTTATAGCTCAGAAATAAAATCATGGCATGTAATTCCAATGTGAATTTTGTTCTGAAGATACAGTAAAATTTATTTCAATCAGTAACGTTTCTAAGACAACTGGGAAGATCATTATGCTGTTTCACTTACAAGACACTTTATTTTAGTAAATGTAGCCTTGATGATGGTAGCAGCCCTTTCACAGAAATCTCTTATCTGCCAGAAGACAGCAGTGTAAAGTGTTGGAAGCAATTCAGAGGAACCAGTCACTTGCACTAGAACTGAGATGGGCATCCCACAAGCACGAAGCAACCATTTCAGCTTTCCCTTCTCCTTCTTATAGTAGTTTCTGGAAAACGAATAACCTTTTTACACCATACTAAAAATCATCTGACTCAATTATTAACACAGAACAATTCTCAATTCCAGAGGATCCATTGGCTTTGGCAGAGCTTACTCTGGTCCTATAGGGGCTTGACTGAAGAGTCTGGCTGGCAATCTCATGAGTAAGGAGATGTCTTCATCATGAGCTCTTAAATTAACCAGAGAGGCAGTAGGATAGGTATGATTATTTTCAGTCCTTTGAATTGGGCTTGAATTCTATAAGAATTCTAAAAGAGCATCCTTCACATGGTTTTAATCTTTCCAAACTGGATTTTTTATTTTTTCCTTAAAAGCTGGCTAGACTTCTTTAATTTTGAAAAGGTTTGAGTTAAACTAAAGATCTGGGATAAGTCTTATATTACCCACATTAGTTCAGTTACTTTGAACTTCCATATGAGAAAGGAAGTTTTTCATGATGACATTGTGTTTGTACCAGAGCCCACAGAATTTGCAAAATGTAAAATATGGCCAAATTAATCCAGTGTCTTGTCTGAATCCCTCTAAGCTGTATATGTAATACTTAAAACCTTTCCAAGCCTTAGCCAATATATGAACTTTCTTCTTCCATTTCTTACATTTTGATGAAACAGAGGTTGGAGATTTTTTTCTAGGAATTTTTCTTTTTGCTTCTCTGATAGTGTACAAGTGCTATTGCTTCTGGCCTCTTTGGAATCTTCCTTATTACTAAAGAATCAAGTGAAAATGCAGTTTTAGAAGGTCTGGAGTCTTAAACGTCTGCTTTATTGGACTGGATGAAAGCAGAGAAGCAAAAACCAGATACTAGATTCTGCAGATACTACTTATTTACTGTCAGAAAAAGTTTGTAATCAGTATTCTTTAAGGGTATTTCAGTGTTCTTTAAGACCTCAAGGGCAGAGGTCCTCACAAAGAGATCTGGATAGATTAGAGAGCCGGGCAATCACCAACTGTATGAACTTTTAACAAGGGCAAGTGCCAGATTCTGTATCTGGGATGGGGTAATCCTGCTTATACATAACAATTGGGGGATGAGCGGCTGGAGAACAGCCCCATGGAAAGAGATCTGAGGGTTTGGGTTGATGGCAAGTTGAATATGAGTCAACATATCCATTGTTGATTGCAGCAAAAAGGACCAACCATGTTCTGGAGTGCATCAAGCCCAGCATAGCTAGCCGGTCAAGGCAGGTGATTGTCCCACTCTGCACTGCATTGGTGCAGCACCACCTTGAGTACTGTGAGCAGTTTTGGGCGCCATATTAGAGTGTGTCCAGAGGAGGGCAACCCAAATGGTGAAAGGCCTCAAGGGCAAGACTTACGAGGAGCAGCTGATGTCATTTGTTCAGCTTAGAGAAGGCTGAGGGATGACCTCGTGGCAGTCTACAACTTCCTCAAGGGGGGCAGCAGAGGGCGAGGTGCTGAACTCCTCTCTGGTCACCAGTGATAGGATACAGGAAATGGAATGAAGCTTCATCAGGGGAAGTTCAGATTGGACATTAGGAGAGAGTTCTTCACTGAGAGGATGGTCAGTCATTGGAACAGGCTCCTCAGGGAAATGGTCATGGCACCAAGCCTGTTAGAGTTCAAGGAGTGTCTGGACTATGTTAGTCACACAGGTTAGTCAGGAAGTCCTGTGAGGAACAGGGAGTTGGACCTGGTGATCCTTATGGGTCCCTTTCAACCTGAGATACTCTATGATTTTAAGTGAGTATTTCCAGAGACTGGCTATGGATGATGCACTAGTTATGTAAATAAAAAATAAAAATTAAAATTAAAAAAACAACACCAACCCAAACCAACAAAAACTAAAACCAGGCTTACTTTCAGGGCTGCCAGCAGTAAAATTGGTTTCTTACAACAAACAGTTTTCTCCTAATTAAATCGTATGACATTTACTTGGAGCAAAGCACTACTCCAGATTTACAAGGCAAACTACAGAGCTGAATATCAGTGGTAAAGCTTTTATCTGTTTGATAAACTACATTGAAATTTCTAAACTAATTTTCTGAAGTAGTTTGGTTACCATATGCCAAGATAAGGTATAATTTTGCTAAGTGCAAGCTTGGAGATTTGTTGTTTCTAGCAGCAGCATTAAGTTAATGTAAAAGGCAAATATTTCATTTTCTGTATTCTGACATTTCTATTTTGAACTACTGTTTATTTACCACTGTGCAGCAAAGAAAGTACCTGTTTTCCTCTGGGTCTGATCCAAGGTCTTTTGGACTTGATGAAACTTGGAGCAAAAATAAACTAAGAGAAAAACAGTGACGGAAAAAAATTGTAATGGATTTTGAATTATGACCTCAAGGAGGAAAACAAGTGAAAAAGGAAAACAACAAAAAACAATAATTTATTTTTGACAAATCATTCAAAGACTCCATGTTCCACCCATAAATCAGAAAACATTTTGGGAATCTTGGAGGCTACCTTCTACCACTCTTGCAATGTTAAAGACCTATGTAATTCAAGGAGGTTAAAATAATCAATGCAGCTATAGGTGTGGAACCATGCATAAATGGTTTCCATTATCATACTGAACAATGGCACTACCTAATAAAACTTCTCATCCAACAAGGATCTGTGTTTTATAGCAAACCACAGTATCACTGTATGTGTTTTATAAAGGCAAGGAAGTAAAGAACCAGGAATGAAGGGCCGAATTACACTTATACTGAACAGTATTCATCTGAAACCTGAATCCTTCGTTCTAACACATCATTAAGGTGCATGAACTGCATCAGTCCTGCAGACTTCTGCAAAGTGGTGCTGCTGCACCAGTGTTTATTTCTGTAAGGAAATTGGTGAGGAAAGAAGATTTCTTAAAACATATTTCCAGTGAATGGCAAAATATATTTGTGATGAGGTTTTACAGACCTGTCTAAATTACTGAAATGGAAAGTGTGCAATCTCAAAATCTAATTACAAAAATAAACTCCAAAAGAATATACTTACTTTGGTGTACACTCTCAAGGACCACTTATAATGCTTGGTTTAGCTCAGAATCAAAATAAACAATGGTGTAGAAAAAACATATGATGAATCCTTAATACTGCTCATTTACCAATGCCCATCTTTTGCCTGATCTACCTTTCTTTAACCTTCCTTTCATAATCCAACAGGATACACGGATACAGTAACATGTTACATGTCCACAGCCCATTTAATACTATAGCAGTGACACTTAAATGTGTGGCAAACATATTCTTTTTCTCCTTGTTTGTTAAGCTCTGCTACCTTATTTTAAAATCAGAAGCTGAAAGAAAGCAAGCAGGTACTATCAAATAATACATAATTTTTAACTAAGTTTTTGACTTCCTTTGGAAGAAATTTTGCAAAACTTCCCTTTTTCCCTAACCTGGCTAAGTTCATTCTTATTCCATCACTCCCTGTGGTGATAAAATTGGTTGTTGGACTGCAGTAAAACCTTCTCAGTTAAAATAATTCAGCTTTAAAAAACACCAAGAAAGCTGTGTTCAGCTCCAATATGGGAGATAGCATGAATGATCTTGGGCTATGGAAGAAAAGAAATAGAAATCTTTTACACTGAAAAAATAAAGGTATGTGGAACTATATGTTTGTTAGTTGAAGTAGCTGATCAGCATTTTTCATTCATATTCTTTACACTCAGAATAAAAACCACTTTTGGTAAAAATAAAATATTTTGTAAAACTATCTTCAGACCTTTCAGCTTTTTTGTTTTTCATTTCAGTTGAAGATTTTTAATATTTTGGATATTCAGGATTTTTATTTTCTTTTGCTAGCTCAGGCTTTTCATGTTTGTTCTGTATTTCCAAAATGGTGTCCCTAAAGAAATCCCAGAATGCCCTCAATAATTTAACTTTCATACTTTTGTTTACTTTTAAGGAAGTTTTCTCATGTATTTGTATTTTCCCTTTATGGAGACTATAGCTGTGGTGTACTTTGGTACTATAGAGTTGCTGAATACCTGGTGGTTGCTCTTATAAAAGAGAGTCTAGACTGTAACATTTTGAAGCACATTGTGCATGCCACTCAAACTGAAATCAAAGTTACTTTTCTAATCCATTGCTTTATGAAGCATGTATTTGATAATGTCTGAATACTCATTATCTCTGTCATGCCCTGACATGACATTGTCCTGTTTTATCTAACAACTGAAATGCCCTATTACTGTTTCATGTCCTCAGAAGATCCTGCTCAGCCTACTGCAGTCATGTTCTCTGAGACTTAAAGCAATATTTTTCCCACTTAACCCTGGATCCTGAGTCTATAGAGACTCTGTATTAGTCACTGATGTAGTTAGCATTCTGATCTGTTTTGATTAAAATTAAATTTTAAAAAAAAACCTTCTTTTACTTATAACACTATGAAACCACCATCATATCCCACTCCAGATTCAGCCTTTACTATTCTGGATTTCCTGGATACTTTGCACTGTGGTTTTCACGCCTACCTGACTGCCTTCCACCAACTTTAGAAAATTACTATAATTCTAGTGTACCCACTGAGGACAGATATTACACTTCAGCCATGTGATTTCTAAGACTTCCAACATTTGTTTAGACACATGGGTACCACTGTGTTGTTTTTCTTTTTTGCAGTGTATTTAGATGACATTTTATACATTTAGCTATCAATCAGTAACAACAGGATTAAAGGCACTTTCAGAAGGAGCTATACTGGCTATATATAAACTTTCTTTGTCAAATAATATTTACCAAAGTCTTATTCTTTCAATTTAAAAGAAGCACCTATCAAAAGAAAAGGGCTTAAAATATTGGAATCAATTAGCATCAGGAAATTGTACATTCTGATGGGCCTGACTCAGCTATGTGAAAACTGGCAGCTAACACTGCAGTCCCTCCCTGGTAACACATGGTTATGAACTTCCCGAAAGTCTCTAGGTGGATGTTTTTATTTGTAAGTTTGAAGTTTTTTAACATGTATGTAAATGATTATATTTCAGGTTTATCACTCAATATGGTGTTCAAATATCAGGGGGAAATATTTCAAAACTGGACAAGCAATTATCTGGTTGTATAATAATAACTAGTTACTAAGGAAGACAGGTTTTATTAGGTCAGCTAGGTTTTTATGTCCTTCAGAACTACAACCTAGATGTTGAAATCTTGGATTAATTCTTAGCTTTTACTCTGGTATTAATTTTTATATTACATTTGCAGACAAAATAATGAGGAAATTTGCAAACTGAAGCAAAAGTTCACAACAAAAGTGACTAGGTTTGTTGGGTTTCTCCTATTTCTCTCTTTTGCTGCTGATCTTATCATTGTGAATTTTCTCTGCTTTTATCTATCCCGTGAAACATGACCTCCATAAGGTGGTCTGTCCACAAACCTTGCAAAGTTTCTGCCTTTTAGCTGGACTGAAGCACATCATCTTCTCTTGAGCAATGCTTTATGGACATAATCTGCAGTCATCTTCTTTTTCTTCATTCTTGAGTTACAAGGCCTCCACCAGCCCCGTGGCCTTGTTGGTGAAACGTCAAGCAATCTTGACCCTTGTAGTTGTTGGACCTGGGTCACCCACTTGTCATACTTGTGTCACTAAGAGTTCTTCTTTCTGCTTCTGCTGGACCTGAGCTATCCATAATACTGCAGTTTGCAGAACCTGGTTTTGTTCCTAGACTGCAGCCTCATGCTTTAATCTGTGGTTTGCTGCTGGGGCCATTATACTTTACCTTTTCCACTATACAAAGAATTGATAAAATGTATGAATGGGTTAGTCACAGGTGCTATGGGTCTCTTCTGCCTATGCACCACGGTCCCTCAGGGCCTTTATAGCTTTGATCATTTTGCCATCATTTCAAAGAGGGGAACACACATTCCCCTTGAGAACTTAGCTTGGCAATTTTTTGTGTTCCCCTCCTTAATTGATAATGCATTGCATTTCTGCCCTGAAGCACAGTCCTGCAGCTGTACCATCATCCCCTTTGCTGCCTTGGTTCGAACTTCTCCCAGAGGTTCTTTCTCATCATAGTACAGAAACAAATGCTTGGACTGTTTTGTCTCCTTGCTTATGTAGTACACCAACCAAGAGGGCTAGATGCTCCTCCATTCTCCTCCAGGGACTACTGTATTTGGTAAATTATTCTTAATCCCATCACAAGATTTCTATTTCCGTCTAAATTAAGCTAAAAAGCATGACTAGGTTTGATGCCTGCAAGCTGTTTCTCTTGTAAACATTGTCACAGAAGTTGATTGAACTAAGTAAAAACACCACTGAAGGTTTAATTGCTTGCTTAGGGGAAGAATTATCATGGTAGAATCCATATGTACATATATATGTACACACATACATATATACATACATAAGTATATATTGCAACCTAACCTTCAGTCTCTTTTCATTGCTCAGTTAATTCAGCAAATTCCTGTCTGTGTGTTTAGGAGATACAGCTACAGTCTTCCTCCCTCCTGTCTCACTGGGAGGAACCACCTCATCAAGATGCCTGTTGCATTTCATAAAGTACTTTTTAGCCGGATGATTGTTCAAAAACCACATTTTTAATCTAACTCTATGTCAAATACACCCAACTAATACACACAAGCTGGCATTGTATGCATGAAAATAATGCTTCTTTTTCCATTTCATCATGTTCTGTGTAGATCTGCTTTTCACAGACTGTCATAAAAAGTGCTCAGTGCTGTATGTCCACCATGACTCTGGCAGAAAAGCAGAATGCCTGTGCTTCTGCTGCTCCTGTAGGTTTTTAATTTATGCTTTCTCTTTGTACACCTGCAATTGTGGAAATACTGAAGCCAATTATTTCTCCCAAGGCTTGCCACAAAAACCATAAATTCTATTAGGCCATTGAGAACAAATATCTCAGTGAAAAATGCATACTCTCTCTAAAGCAATTTGGAACTTGACTGAATTACCTGCAGTAATAATATATGTATTTATAATTTTCTCAAATGACAGTTTCAGACCATGGTAAACAGGAATACAGCCTTAAAAATATCAAGATTCATTCTAGATCAGTCACTTTTAAATCTAAAACAACAGAACTGAATTTAACATTGATTGTTCCACTTGGGTTTTAATTTTCCAAGTGTTCAGTAGCCTTGCATTGCCTGTCTTTAATTATGCACCTTCAACTCAACTCTGTAAATTCTCTACTTCCTGAATCCACATTTCTTATATGTCAGTTTCCAGAGTGATGGGAATTAATGTTGGTCCTTGGTTACATCCATCATGTAATGATAGGAGAAATTTGAGGGATTCCATATTTCAATGAAAGTGTTTGCTTCTCAGGAAATTGTTCACAGTTTTCCCAAGACTTTAGAATTATTTTTTTACATGAGTTTTATATTATTTTTTCCTTCAGCTTTATCCTCCTTCTCATTCCCTCTCTTCCTCTTCTTATAATAAAACTTCATTCTTAACTGTTGACCTGTATATGGGAGCTTCCATTTGCTATGCAGATTTTAAAGCATTTAAAACTTTCATTATTGAATTTAAAACAAGGAGAGAATTATTTTCATGTTTGTTCATGCTGTGTACCTGTAAGTATCATGTAATTCCCCATACCTCATTCTGATGAAAGCAAAACAATCTATTTCACCTCATCCTCACGCATATTTACTGGAAGATGCAGTGTGTATGCATGTGTCTTTCTGTGTATGACAGAGAAAGAAAAACAATTTGGAGCAAAGAAAATTTATTTAACTATTTATTTATTATTTGTTGAGGAATTTAATTTATTTTCAAAATGGCAAACCTGTATTTTGTTCCTTGGGTACACAGAAAATGAAATAACTGATTATGCTTTAATATGTTGTTGGGATAGGATGGCCCTTATACATATTGCTTTTGTAAATCTGTTTAGGCAAGTAAACTGAATATTATCTTCTTTAACCTATGGATCACTATGTCCAAACCACTGTGTTTTGTTTGTTTCTGTAGCTATCTGCACAAGAACAAATACCTGCAAGTTATCAATGACGATGCATTTCTGGGAGTGTACAGTGGACCAACTCTACTGTGAGTAGGAGAAAATGAAATAGAGAAAGCTTTAAAAATAATACTACTCTAGGCTGCACTTTCTTTCCAACCATTATTAGTAGCAGAGCCACAGGGGTGGGAATGGTATGTTTACAAAAAGAATATCAGCAACAAAATCTGTGCTTTAGGGAACTGATTTAAGAAATGCTTGCATCTTACATTAGAAATATTGTTCCTATCAATTTTTCTTTTGAAAGATTCTATACTACAATCTGTCTTACAACTGCACAATTGCAATACAAACTAAGGACTCTAGTAGCACACACATAAAGGCAACTGAAACAGGTGAAAAAATAATATTAGACAGAATAAAGTTACTTCTGGTGCTGTCTTTTCTTCTTCTTCATGTAACTTGGCTTCCAGTCTGACTTTATTGTCCTCCAAAGAACTCTCCACTAAAATTAGGAATCACAATACAGAATGAAAAAAATCTTTTAAAAAAGTTTAAGAACTTTAGGAAGTATCATATTCCCTGACTCAAATCATCTAGCATAAAATGTAGTGCATAGGACTGATCACAGGGAGAACTGAAGTGCTGAAACTGGGATTCCCTCCTCCACTGCAAAACCAGATGGTGCCAGTAGTGCCTGCTCCATGTAAGAATCAGTTTTACTTTCTGCTCTTCAGGAAAACAGCACATTTCTATCAGAGTAATGGTGTATTGTTCACAGAAGGAATCCTAGTAGCTACCTATAATAACAAAAAGGTGCAGAAGACATTCTTTTTCTCCCAGAATCTTTCCAGCTCCAGAAAATCAGGCTGTCTACCAGTGACATAGCAATCTACCATAGAAGTTGTATTGGTCATAACCACTTTATGCTAAGAAGAGTTGTGTCCCTGCTGTGCAAATCTGACATTAACCTTTGATGACAAGGTCATCATCAAATCTCTGGTTGTCTCTGTCACCTGCATCTCAAGTCAGATACATTGCAAGGCCTGTGTGTAATTATATGTGTAATCAGTAATTTAGATGTCTGAAGCAGAAGGCAGACTAGCAGAAGGCTAGCCTGCCTTCTGCTTCAGACATCTAAATTACTTTGTCTTGTGGGGTGAAGAAGATCTGGCTGAGGGCCCATCTTTCAGGGCCACATCGTTCCTCCACATAACTTTCTACCACAAGGTCCACCGGAGTTATTATCAGAGTCCTTGGGAACAGGGTTTGAGACCAGTTCTGGGCAGTATCAGTTTTCCTTTCACCAGCTTGAGGGGAGAGAGAAGCACAGACCATTCATGGAGTCATACTTCTGAAGCAAATACCTTAAATAAATGGACATTGGAGGGGCAGTCCCTAATAACCAGCCATTCCAACAGCAAATCATGACAAACCACTCCTGTCACCCTGGGGTGACATTTTGTCCATTTCCTAAAGTCATCCTCACTTTCTCAGTGGCACCTGATGCACCACCAGCTACCCTGTTTCGGAGCAGCTCAGAAAGACGGAGTTGTGAAGCACCAATCCAGTCATATTCACAAGGACATGCAGGCCAGCTCTTCATCACCTTCCCTCTGACAAAAGCTGCTGCAAGACTACATAGACCAGGAGGGCTAATGTTATGTTATAACCTTCTCACCTCAATTCTGGCAGCTCTGGCTGCCAGCTGGTGGGCCATCAACAGTGCTTCGCTCTAGAGGGTCTGCAAAAGGAAGAAACTAGTCCAGGCCTCTTCCTGTGAAGTTGCAAAGTCCTTGGGATGCAGGTCTGTATGAGTAAATGTGTGTATAGGTAAATGCAGTAACTTGCTGCACTGTGTCCCTCAAGTTACTGTCAAGGACTAACATGCCTGTTTTTTTTTTCTTCTTATCACTGAATCACCTGAGAGATAAACTTTGGTTGTGCCATGAGTGGCCAGATCCTGAGACAGCAGTGAGAAGGCAATGTTTTCTGAACATGTCTTAAAAGTTATACCTTCTGGATAAGAAAATCATCTAGTTCCAACCCCCCTGCCATCAGCAGGGACACCTTCCACTAGACCAGGTTGCTCAAAGCCTCATCCAACCTGG